TGGAGCAACCACCTGGGTTTGTTGCTCAGAGGGAATATGGAAAAGTTTGTCATCTAAGAAAATTTTATATGGTCTAAAGCAGAGTCCTCGTGCATGGTTTGGAAAATTTAGAGATGTAGTTCAAGAATTTGGGTTGAAGAAGAGCAAGTGTGATCACTCAGTCTTTTACCGACAATCAATGACTTGTATTATTCTTCTAGTTGTCTATGTTGATGATATTGTGATTACATGAGATGATTGTACTGAAATTTCTTCTCTCAAGCAGTTTTTACATGCCAAGTTTCATACCAAAGACTTGGGACAACTGAAATACTTAGGTGTAGAAGTAGGCAGAAGCAAGAATGGGATTTTCTTATCTCAAAGAAAGTATGTACTTGACCTACTTGCAGAAACTGGTAAGTTGGGAGCGAAACCTTGTGGCACACCAATGGCTCCTAATGCACATCTTAATAAGGATGATGTTGAGCCTTTTTATGATCCAGAAAGATACAGAAGGTTGGTTGGGAAACTAAACTACCTTACTGTGACTCGTCCATATATTGCCTATGTAGTTAGTATTGTTAGTCAATTTATGTCTATACCAACAGTCAAACATTGGGATGCCTTGGAACAAATTCTATATTATTTGAATGGATCCCCTGGCCTTGGCATATTGTATAGTGACCACATACATACTCGTGTTGAATGTTTTGCAGATGTAGATTGGGCAGGATCAAGAATTGATAAAAGATCGACTACTGGCTATTGCGTCTTTGTTGGTGGAAATCTAGTATCTTGGAGTAAGAAACAACATGTTGTATCTCGATCTAGTGCAGAGTCCGAGTATAGAGCTATGGCTCAGTCCACATGTGAAATACTATGGATACAACACCTTTTAGTTGAGGTTGGTTTGAATCCTTCTTTTCCAACAAAACTTTGGTGTGATAATCAGGCTGCTCTACACATTGCCTCAAATCCAATGTATCATGAACGGACAAAACATATTAAGGTCGATCTTAATATGTTTTGTCCATTCATTATACACTGGATTTGAGGCAATGTGTAGAGCAGCCTGATTATCACACCAAAGTTTTGTTGGAAAAGAAGGATTCAAACCATGAGAGAACGTGATTTCTACTGGCTATGTGAAGACATGAGAGCAATTGGGTGATATATTCACGAAGGCTTTAAATGGAACTTGGGTGGAATATCTTTGTAACAAGTTGGGCATGCTTAATATCTATGCTCCAACTTGAGGAGGAGTGTTACAAAATGTACATAGTCATATCTACTCATAGCATAATTATTGGTAGAGGTATTTAGGGATATTTTCTGGTTTTCTTTCCTTAGATAGATTTACATGTACACCTACAAATAGCTCTTATTCTTGGAATAATAGAACAAGGAGATTGGTACATTGTCTCTATATTTTACAAAACTAAATGCATACTTGAAAGCAATATGTTAAAGAAAAGATTGATCATTCAATAAAATGATTTTATTCAAAAGTTAACCAATATATTGACCATATTCATCTTCAAGAACTGTTAGTTTGTAACTTATAGATGAATATGATCACTTTATGACTTTTTAGCTTTGCAATTAAGTTAGGAGGTGAAAAGATTGTGAAACATTTTGATTAATTAAGATTTAACTTAATAGCTATTTTATCACATTTTGAATTAGGATAGGGGTAAAATGGTATTTCAACTTTTAACTTTGTGGCTTCCCTATTTTTAGTATAACTAGAACAATCTATCATAATCCAAAAAAATCAACTTTAACTTTTTAACAATGATTATAGATATATTATTGTTCTGAGTTATGACAATGTGGTGCCAATATTGAAGCTGCTCCATTACGATAGGAGTTTTAATTCTACTATGTTTCTTTACTTTGCTCATAAAATGTCATTTCTATTCTAAGTGTCGTCCAATTTTGGATAGGTTGTTTTAGTTCGAGCATAGATAATCTGAGCACCTCTGAAAATAGGTGTCATGCGGAAGATAGCAAAGCAAACCTCAAAAGACCATGAGTAAGAAAACAAATGAGAAATATACCAAATCACAAAGATTTAACGTGGTTCGGTCAATCGACCTACGTCCACAAAGGAGATGAGCAATCCACTATAAATATGAGAGTACAAAATATAGAGAGAAATAACATCAACCAATTTACTCAGAATACAAGGAGGTCCGCACAAGTGATAACGTATCAAACTTGTGTTCCACAAATTCTCTTGTGGATATTTTGTTATTACTATTTTTGGTTAGCACAAGTTGTATTGTAAGTTGTGACCACCTCTGTCTGCTTTTCTTCTGTGGGGTTTGAGAGTGAACAGAATTAGACACTAATGTCTTACTACTAATGGAAACAAACATTATTGTGGTCAACAAAAAAAAGAATTTTATGTGCTAAAGCAGATTTTTATGACAAATTGCCCGGTGTGGGCCTTAGTAGTCAAGCCTTTTTTTATGACTTTCACATTGTATGATAATCTCCAATTGTAATTTGCAAATAATGAATTAAGTAGTGAAGAAAATATCAAAGTAAACCAAGTCAACAATTTAGGCACTAGGCATTCTTTTGCCTCTATGATATGTGCCAAAAAAAGTCAACTTCATAGTCCTTTATTTCTGGTCACTTGTGGCATTTGTAACTTGGAAGAAACTAGTTCATCCTATTGAATATTTTACTCAAGAAAAATAAACTAATATATGAGAATACAATTCCATATATTATCAAAACTACATAAATCAAGAAATGTGTATTGTCATCGTGGGATTATTGGGCAGCGGAAGAACATTATAACCTCTTCCACGGCCTCCCAATTGACGTTTACTCGAATTAGTGATAGTCAGTCAACCTTAGCGGAGTGTCTTTTAGCCAATAGTTTCAAAGTTAAGTACACCAAGTTGCCTCTATATTTCTTGTGTGGGGCATGGGGTGTGTTAGTTGACACCTTCATTTGATTAAAGCTGAGTTATGATTGAGGTAGGGGAAAAAGGAGTCACTAGAATATTATCCATTTAATTAGAATGGGAAAAGAGTCTGAAAAATACTCCAACTTTGGTTGAAATTGTTGTTACGATACCAAACTTTGGAAAAGACCTTTTACCCCTCTGTACTATTTAATAATGTATTTTAAAGGTATATATATGTCTACGTGGACATCATAAATATTTCATCATTTTAAATAGTAATGTGTCCACGTGGGTACATATATATCTTTAAAATACACTATTAAATAGTGCAGGGTAAAATGTCCTCCATAAAGTTTGGTATCGTAACAACAATTTCAGCCAAAGTTGGAATATTTTTCAGATCCTTTTCCCTAAATTAATTCATTTAAGTCAAAAAGTCATTACACATTTAAGTCCTACATGACATTTTGTAGTCCTACGTCAACTTGTTCAATTTTATACATGTTTAAGTGTTTACTTCTGTACATTCAAAGTTGGAGGATACAAATGTCAGTTGATGCCAAGTTAAATGGCACTTATGTGTTTTTTAATAGGTCAGATTTCAAAGGGTCTAATTTGGTGATGTGGACCTCTAACAAGAAGTCATGTGGCAAAGTTGGTTTTACAAAATCACCGTTAAAAAATAATGACATAAATGAACCAAAACTTTAACATATGACATATAGATGATCCATTTCTAATAGTTTTTCTTGAGAGACTTGTAAGTGAGAAATTAACTCTGGAAATAGTTTTTTTTTTTGAGATAGCTTCCCCTGTCTTTGATAATGAAAATTGTCAGCTTTATGCAGTAAAAATAGACTTATCTTGAGGCTGAAGAGTTTTTGGAGGCCATGGAAGAGAAATCTGAGACCGTCAAAGCGTACTTAGGCCGATTCTTGGCATTGTCAACAAGCTAAGATTGCTTGAAACTAAATTTAAAGATTTATCATTTCTATCTAAAGACAAGTTATTCTATCCCTATAATATGTTATTCTATCACAATGTTTATTCTCTTTGATTACTACATCAAGGGTGTGTTTGGTATGAAGGAAAATGTTTTCCTAAAACAAGTTGATTTTGAACTTATTTTCTCATGTTTGGTTGGTGAGTAGAAAATATTTCCAGGAAAAGATATTTTAGTGTTTGATTAATGAATGAAAAATATTTTTGAGAAAAATATCTTTTATTTTTACTAGAGAGTAGAGAATAATTTTTGAATTGAAATTGAAAATATTTTTTAAAAATAAACTTAGATTTTTTGGGGTGGTGGTGGTGGTGGGAGGGGGGGGGGGTTAGGGATGAGATGGGGCAATAAAATAAAAAATTAAAATTGAAAATATTTTTTAAAAACAAACTTAAATTTCTTTTTGGAGGGGGTGGGGGGTTGGTGGGGGGGGGTCGCGGGTAGGGGGTGAAAAAATAAAAATTCGAAATTGAAAATATTTTTTAAAATCAAACTTAATTTTTTTTTGGAGGGGGCTGGTAGGGGGGGGGGGTAGGGGTGATGGTGAGGTAAAAAAATAAACAAATTGAAATTGGAAATATTTTTTAAAAACAAACTTAAATTATTTTTTTTGGAGGGGGGGGGGGTGGTGGTGGTGGTAGGGGACTGGGTCGGATGGGGTGGGGGGATGAAAAATAAGAATTTGAATTTGAAAATATTTTTTAGAAACAAACTTTAATTTTTTATTTTTTTTGGAGGGAGTGGAGGGGGGTGGCTGGCGGGGGGAGGGGTCTAGGGTAGGGGTGGGGGTGGGGGTGGGATAAAAATAAAATTTGAAATTGGAGATATTTTTTTAAAAAAACTTAATTATTTTTTTTTGGGGGAAGGGGGTAGGGGTATGTCGAGGGGAGGTAGGGTGAGGGTGGGGTGGGGTATAAAAAAAAAAGTTGAAGCTGAAAATATTTTTTTAAAAAATAAGCTTTAAATTTATTTATTTTCAACAAAAAAAATTGTAATATGAAGTTGGAGAAGAGTTTTGGAAAATGTTGTCCTCATATTAACATAACTGATATAGGTAATCAAATAACATACAAGAGTAGACTACCTGCTCCCACCTAGTGTTGACTACTGACAAGCTGGAGCCTAATCTTTTGGAGTGTTGAAAGTGCATCTTTCATGCTAGTTCTTGCATTAGGTGTCACTAAAGTGCAACTCAAAGCTAATTCTGTAATTGATAACAAACATTGCATCTTTGCATCAATTTGTTCATCCCCTGGCTGTACCAAAGAGCAATCCATCACCTTATGAATTCCACTTGGGAAGGAATCACTAATCCAACGTTGTATACTCAATTCTCCGGTAAATATTGTAACATCTAGCAATGTGAAATAATTGAAGAGGCTTAGAATTGGAAATTTTCATTTTTGGAAAGAATTTTAAAGATCTGGAAAATTGACTATGGAAAAAAAAGTGAGTTTTTGGCCAACTTTGAACAGTCATAACTCCTAGCTCAGAATGTTTTAGATGTAGTTCCAGTATGATTGCAAAGCTCGTGGAATGATCTTTCCAACGCCACCAAGTTTGCTCTATTCCGAGTTCGTATGAGTGAGTTATGCCCTTTGGAAGTTGGGCAGTTGGCAGGGAAGTGAAGTCCGTCCGGAAATTTTAAGGGCATTTTGGTCTTTTCACTAACCAATTCTTTTGGGTTATATGGTTGTGTTAGGCTGATTTATGGATCATTTGGTCCCATTTTAAAAGAGTGAGAGTGAGAGTTAAGGTTCTTGAGGGAAGAGGAGAAGAAGAGGAGAAAAGAGAAGAAGAAGCTAAGATTCGTCAAGATCGTCGTGGTTTTCGTCGGGGGTGATCCCTATTAAGGTATGTGAGTTCTTAGTGTTGGGTTGATCCTTTCCCCCAAACACCAAACTCATTTTATTATTGAGAAAAGATTGGTTGTGTTATTGAAGTTGTTGGTTGGGTTGTTGATGCTGTTGATGTTGTTGATTGTGTTGTTGAAGTTCTTGTTGATTTGAGACTTGTTTCCGGTTGTGTTGTGAGTTGAAATCTATTGTATGTTGAGGGGTTTATGATTCTAAGTGTTTGGGGCTGGATCCATTGAAGTTAAGGAGGTTTAGAGTTGGAAAAATGAAGGAGAAGAGTCGGATTTTTGGGGGAAAGGCTGAGGCGTCGCGCCAGCCAGCGCGCCCCAACAGGGGTTCTGATGTTTTACCCCTGGCGTGGCGCGCCCATCAGAGCGCCAGCAGGCCTCCTCTGAAGTTTTTGGGCTGGCGCTCCACACCTCTCAGAGCGCCAAGTTCCCCCATTCCTTCCCCACTTTCTCATGCATGTTCCTAGGTATTATACCTATGTTTCATAGTTGTTTCCGACACTCCAAAGTACTCTAAACATCAAGAACCCCTCCATAACATGTGATCAAACACCTTGAATTCATAATTCCAATTCAAGGAAAGTTAGTTTCCAAGTCAAGTGAAGTCAAGCTTAGAAGTAAGTAAGTCAAAGCAAGTCTTTAAGATTCTCCAAGAGTCTTCATTGAACGTTTTAACTTCTTTTTAAGGCTCAAGTTCCAAGTTAAGTATAGAGTTTCAAGTTGAGTAAAGAGCATAGAGTTCTATGTTAAGTATAGAGTTTCAAGTCGAGTAAAGGGTATCGAGTTTCCAGTTAAGTCAAGAGTCAAGAGTTGAGTTCATTTCTCAAAAGTTATTAGGGAACTAAGTATTCCCAAAGAAGTTTATAAATGTTTTCACATTTTAGATGAGAGCAAACTGAGATTTCCAAAAGAGTTTTGAGCAATTGAGTACTATCTCTTTTTGATAAAAAATGAGTTTTGCGAAAGAGTTTCTAAAACATGATTAGTATGACAAATCGAGTATGTCATCAATGTTTAAACAGTATGGTATCTAGATATACCATCAATGTTTAAGCAGTATGAATATCCCGAGTCATCAATGATCATATTAAAAATATGGTTTTGAGATGTTCTTTTTAAAGAGAGTTTTTCAAGAGCCTTTGGGCTAAGTTTTGAGTAATTATCTCAACTAAAGAAAGATGTGTTTCAAACACTTATGAGCCAAAGTATTTTTGGGAGTAGTCTTGAGCACCGAATTGGGGTAGCATTCAAAGAACTCACAGCCCCCATAGAACCATGTAGCCAAACATGGGATTTCTCGGGTCATACTTTTTAGATGATCACGAAAGTTAAGCTAGTGGATCCATTAAGCAAAAGTTAAAGTAAAGTTAGCTTCCTATATCACGGCAAGGTATAGGATGATCCTTGGGCAACGTGAGGTAAAATGTTGTATCACTACTTAAGCATGTAGTGGTGGTTATCGGTTAGAGAACTCCCATAGTAAAAAGAGCTTGGTTCCTCGAGAAGTTCTGCTTAGTGTGGATGGGGGTATGGGACTTCATTCATGCATTGCACAAGTAGACTTCGAAAGGAAGCATGGTATTTTCATGATATTATAAATATGATTTTTACGTCATGTTTTAATAGTTTTACAAGCTTTATATATTGCATGTGTCTTATTGCTTTATATATTGAGTTCAGTTATTCTTAAGTTGAACAAAACCAAGGTAAGTTCTCTTCTGCATCTCTTTTCAAGCTTAAGTTGTTGTTTAGCGGTCCAGCTCGCATACTCGTACATTCCATGTATTGATGCCAGTTGGCCTGCATCTTGTTATAATGCAGACGCAGGTACCCAGGATCAGCATCCAGTACGCCGTTGATCCAATTGAGAACTCCAGAGTCAGTGGTGAGCCTCCTTGCATTCCGGAGGACTCAATTATTTATGTTCTTAAGTTTTGTTTTATTAGGATGTTGCGGGGTCTGTCCCAACATCCATCTCAGTATTTTAGAGGCTTCATAGACAGTCAGTCAGTCAGTTAGTTTGAGTCTCTCTTTTGTGTATATATATGTAAATATTCTATTTTGAGACTCGAGTTGCCGTTTTGGCCAAATTTTATCAGTTGGGTTGTTTTTAACCTTTCCTTGCATTGAGTTATGCTGTTGAGTTAAGTTTCCGCTGAGTTAAGAAAGCCAGACCAAGGGTTCGCTTGGGGCCAGCAATGGTCTTCGAGTGCCGGTCCCGCCCAGGGTGTAGGCTCGGGGCGTGACAAATATTTCATCACTTGGTCTTCTTCTTGTGAATGTCTCCATCATCAGAATGCCAAAACTATAAACATCACAACTTGTGGATACTATTCCATCTTGTCCATACTCTGTAATCATGGTAAAAAATGATCATAAAAGCCTCCTAATTAAAATGGAATATGCCAAAACTGAAAGCATCAATCCATATCTAGGGGAAAGAATTGCTTAACTAATATACCTGGAGCAATATATCCGATGGTTGCAATTGTTCTTGTTTGAACGAAAGCCTCCCCTGCATCTAACAATTTTGCAATGCCAAAATCACTTCCATGACCAACCATTTCTTGATCTAGCAAGGCATTGCTTGGCTTCAAGTCACAATGCACAATAGGCGTTGAATAGCCATTGTGGAGATAGTCCATTGCAGATGCAACATCTATCATTATATCTAATCTCTGCAATAAGTTCAAGAACAAGTTGTGAGAGTATAACCATTTATCAAGTGTCCCGTTGGGCATGTATTCCAACACCAGGGCCTTGAAATCAAGATTGGAGCAGCTGGTGATGACTTTGGTCAGATTTCTGTGGCGAAGGTTCCGGAGTATCCCACACTCCATGGCAAAACTTTTGAATGCACCCTCCAATTGCACATTGAATACCTTTACTGCCAAAAGAGTACCATCCTTAAGTATCCCTTTACTCCCTTGCTAAAACTCCCGGTACCAAGCAAGTTGCTTTCATCGAATCCTTCTATTGCATGTTCAAGTTCATAATAGGAAATCCTTTCATGCTCTTTTACTAAAGACACATCTGCTTGACTTTCATTCTTCTTTGTCTTTCTCAATCTTAACACCACATATCCAACGGCCAACACAAGGAGTGATCCAATCCCTAACAATGTATATAAACCGATAAGCACTCTTTTTCCTCTTGGCTTCTCCACTGAGTTTATTGAATGAGAAATTCATGTATTTGAGATACACAAGAGCTTCTAATGACTTTGGAATTTCACCACTAAGATTGTTATACGATAAATCCAAGTATTCCAGTGACAACATTTTGCCAAATGAATCTGGAATAGCCCCATCTAATCTATTATGTGCTAGAGAAAGATCAGCCAATTCAGCTAGACCCCCTAAAGTGCTAGGAATTTTACCAGGAAAATAATTTTTTGACAAATCAAAGAGTGTCACTGTCTTTAAATTTCCCAACTCTAGAGGAATATGACCACTTAATGAATTGGATGAAACATTGAATTCTATGAGGTCTTGAAGGTTCCCCAAGTTTGCAGGTAATCTAGAATTCAGCATGTTGTAAGCTAGATTAAGTTTCCTCAAACTAGTAACATTCCCTAAGCATGAGGGTACCAAACCAGAAATATGATTTCCTGACAAGTCTAATGCACCAAGATCCTTTAAACTGCATAAAACATTTGGTATGGCTCCTTCAATCTCGTTGCTTTGTAGATAAAATTCTTGAAGGTTAAACATGTCTTGGATAGTATTTGGAATATGTCCAGTCAACTCATTCTTATACAAACTCATATATATCACTCCTGTAAGATTACCAATTTCTCGAGGAATGACGCCCTTTAGCTTACAGCCATTTCCTTGAAAATTTTGCAGCAAGTTTGAGAAATTACCAACAGACGCCGATAAGGCCCCATCCAATGCATTCTCATTAAACCGGAGTGCTCTTAGTTTCCTACAGTCTGTTAATGATGTAAGGAATCTCAACGATGAATCGCTGATAAAATTATTCAGCTCCAAGTTCAAAACCTCAAGGTACTCTAAGTTACCTAGTGATTCAGGAATTACACCTGTGAAACTGTTGTCTGAGAGATCAACCATTCTGAGTCTTGAAGAATTTGAGATTGAATCATATATAAAACCACTCAGACTATTTTCTCCACAATAAAGTTCTTCTAGATTGGGCATTCCACGACCTAAATCCTAAGGAAGAGTACCTGAAAGCTTGTTCATTGAAAAATCTAGGATCTGCATTGCTGATATATTGAAAATGCTTTCAGGGATAGAACCTGTAAACTCATTCTGGTCTAACATCAGCAGTGGTAGTTTCTAGCTGCTAATCCATCACTAAAAACCTAGCTAACTTTTTATTTTTGTAATCCATCGCTAAATGGGATTAACATAAAAAATTTATTGTTAGCTACGAAATTTTGTTCATCGCTAATTTTTTTATTTTCTAGCCGGGATGTGTACACTACAATGATGGTCATCAATCAATTTTCGTTTATCGTTTTAGCCTTCTTGATAGCGACTCCGAGTCATTTCTGATTGGATCTTGAAATTGGTTTCGGGTTTTGAGTGAAAAGTTGTGAATTGTGGAAATTTAAAGTTTTGAAAGGCTAAAGTTGTGGATTTGAGGTCCTAAAAGTTGGAAATTGTTGAGATTTTAGCCTTTCAGTTGACTTTCGTCAACATTCAAGGTTTAGATGCTCAAATCGGATTCCTAAAGTTCTGTTGGATTCAAGGGATGATTTTAGGCCTAGAGGAGGTCTTGGTTGAATTTTCAGGGATCCCGAGCTTGATTTAACCTTTTTAGGCGTTATGTTTGCTTCTTGTAATTTTCACGGGTTTTGGGTTAAGGAGACCTCGAATTCATGTTTCGATGGTTCCATTAAGTCCGGAATGTCGAGTTTAGTCAAGTAGCTAGCATATCTGATTTATTGTAAGGGGTTCCGAGCGAATCTTGAGGATCCTTTTGGTGAATTTTGTGCCTTATGTGAGTATTCTGTCGCTAGTGTATATTAACCTCCACGTTCGCAGAGGGTTGGGGGTTAACATGAAATTTTTATTATTTAGCAAGAAATTTTGTTTATCGCTATTTTTATTTTTGTTTTCTAGCCGGGATATGTACACTACTACAATGATGTTCATCAATCAATTTGTTATGTATTATGTATGTTGAATGTGATCTTTGGAGTTGCTATTAGCTAGAAGCCTAGAACTAGTTACCAAAATCATTAATCAATATCACCTTAATTATGTTTTTTCTTTGTACGTTTATTTTGTTTTCGAATTCAATCTTTTTCCCATTTGTTTATTGTGTTTGACAGATTTGACTTTATTGATAGCATTGATTGGAGTTATTTACTTTTAATATTGGTTGGTATTATATGTCCCTATTATCTTATTTTAAGAATGATATATACTGTTTTTGGATAATACAAGTTGTCGATCGATTGTTTTAAGGGAGCTTACATAAATTCAATTATTTTAGGAGTAGTTAATCACTTAAATCCATTATAGTTTGTAATATTACATATCTTACTAGATTTTGGTGCTTCCATACAGTGGCGGATCCAAGATTTTCGTTCAGGGGGTTCAAAATATATATGAAGTAAACCCGCAAAAATTACAGTATAACTAAAAAAAGCGACACAAGGAAGGACAACACTAATTTTAACCCACTAAATTTTAACTCACATTATCATGTCCCGTTTAACATTTACTACATTGAGTCCTTACTAAAATTTGTTGTGCTTTTTTTCCCCTTCACTTTGCAATGTTGAGCTTTTTCTGAATTAATTTCCTTCTTTCAATCGTATGTTATCTTTGAAATTACTATTTTTCTTCAAAAACAGTTTTGGAATCTTGGTCAAAGACAAATAGAACTCTAATATATTAACAAAAAAATAATTAAATTGATTAGTCAAACACAAATTGTTAATATACAAAAATACTTTGATAAAAAGTAATTTTCATAATTACAAATTTTAGAAATATAAAAAGTAATTTTCATAATTACAAATTTTAGAAATATAATCAATCACGCAACTAGTTTTATTATTTTAGCTTTTAAACATATTTATTAGTAGTACCCAATTTTTATTTTATATTATATTCTTCGTAAAATACTATAAAATTTTACACATAATTTATGCAAATATTAATGATGAAAAAAACAAAACAAAAAATCAAATGTTATGTTAATTAATTATCATCCAATTTCAAGCCAATTTCCCATATATTTCTGGTGATATATGTATTAACTATTAAATAACCCAAGTACTGCTGGAAAAGCCATAAAAAATGATGGCGCACCAGGGAGAATCGAACACGCAACATGAACATCATTCTGAACCCGCAAGACCACTGAGCCAAGCTTCGTAGTTGTGCTAAAGGGGTTCATTTCGTTACATATAACTATAAATATCGAATCTGACCTTATAAATACAGTGTAATTTTTTCGACGAGGGGGTTCGGGTGACCCCCCTACCGCCAAGGTAGATCCGCCCCTGCTTCCATACACGTCCAGATACATGTATCTCAATTATGTGTAATTTGTCCTAGATACATTGTATTCAAGTAGATTCACATGTATCTGAGATACATAACAAAATTTTCTCGCCATCCCTCGCCTCTCTCCCATCTCGCTAGTATCCGAGATACATGCAAATCACACCAGATACATACAAATACATTTATCTAGTGTGATTCACATGTATTTGGGATACATACGAATCTCGCTCGTCTCTCTCCCTATTTTTGTGTGCCTTGTACCAAAAATACATGTATATAAGCGTATTTTCTTCAATATGTGATAGAAAACTCTCAATTAGTAGTAAGATACGTAATAATTTGAGAGTATAGATAATGTTAATATATATGGTAGTAAAATATATCTAATTAAGTAATTATGTAGTTTTTCCTTGTTTTAATGATTAATCTATATTCTACAATACCAACAATTATTTTAGCTCTCACCTACAATGTGTTGTTCTTCAAACACCAAATAAAAAGTAAATTGCAGAATATAATTATAAGAATGCAAGAAATTTTATCGTAAAAAAAATAATCCTTGCTCAAGTACGTAAAATAGTTATGACCAAAATAATCCTTGCTCAAGGACTTTCATAAGATTGCCTAAAAATTATTGGAAATTTTATGAAAATATTTGATCACAAAACATTATAGGAAATTCTTCTAAAGTTTCACACGTATCAAACGCATAGTCTCAAGAATAGTTCACTCGGATAGATGTATCCCTCAAAATCTAATAAGTTTGTCTAGTAATATAAAATTATGAATACAAACCTAAGATTGAGAGTTGAGTCCCCAAACAAACAAAAAGGTATGTAGAAGCTCCTAGAAAGGAATTATTTTTTTTAAAAAAAAATCTTAAAAATAAATTAGGAACACAAAAACTAACAAAAATTTAATAAGAAGAAAGTACCGGCACAATAAAATAAAAAAGAAAACGTTATTCTGGAAATTTGAAATTAATATGAATACAACCACAATCCAACGAATATTAAGTACATATTTTCACCTTAATTTATTATTCAACCATAGTACATGAATAGAATTCTCCATTATATTCGATCTCAAACAAGCATAAACATTCATTTTTAACACAGCCAAAACCATAAAATCATTACTAATAAAAAAAAAAGTTGAGGCATTATTTTAGAGGCTTGATGCGTTTAAAAATGAGGCATCCGTCTTAGGTCCCCCAATTTGAGGGGCCCCATTTTTTTTTATAGTAATAATAGAATTATTATAAGTATTTTTTAACAAAAAATAAATTATATTTTGTCTTTCTTTAGTTCGTTTTGAAACATTAAAGAATGTTTCTTTCTTTTTTGTCAATTTTTAAATTTAACTTCCACATGACATGTTTAAGACCATAAGATTAAAAAATATTTTGATATATATATATATATATATATATATATATAAATATAGTTTAAGACCATAGAAAAAATAAAGTATTTTCATTAAAAAGAAAAAATAACTTTGGATTTTAAAAATAAAAACTAGGATTTTATTCCACTTTCTTCAAATTGTTTTCGTGGCAAACATGTTTGTTGATATCCACTAGGAAAACTAAGAGTACAACATTCACGCTAATACCGAATTTAAGGCGGCAAATAAAATGAATCAAAATCAATGTAAGAACATCAAGTAGGGGTATAGGTTGTGGGGAGAATGTTCTCAAAATTTTAACCAGTACCAAACACATCTTAAATCAGATCTCTTAAGAGCAAATAAGTAACAAATGCACACAATTAGTTAAGCTGTGAATCCTTATTCATCAGGCCAAATTGATAAAATGAGAATACTGTCATATATAATTACACAAGTTTTATCACAATAATACCTATAAACTCATTTATAGAAACTTTAATGAGTCTTTAGTATCGCTAAGATCCCAACTTAAATACAAAATCACTTGCAATTTTGCAATTACAATAAATAAGCGGTTTTCAGAGACATTCTACATAACCCGCCGACTGAACTTTACATCTTCTTTTAGTTTGAGAACTAAAGCAAGTTGAACCTGTGGACTTAAATCGTACTCAATACTCCCCAAACAAATTACCACATGAACATGCGTACATGAGCCTCTTTGAATTGTTGTTGTATGATCTCATTATATTTTTGAGATCATCTAGCATTCTAGTATAGAATTTAGACTTCTTCACATGCTGCATTAGCTCTCTAATCCTTCCAACCAGTTCTACTTTATATCCACTTGTTGACTCTATGTCACGCTCCGAGTCTACACCCTAAACGTGACTCACACTCGAGAACCATTGTTGGTTTCCAAGCGAACCCTTGGTCTGGCTCATTACTCAACGGAAGACTTACTCAAGCAAAATGGGAACTCCAAATTTTACCTTTTATGTCTATAATAATTTTCTATAAAATAAAAAACTTTTTTTCTACTACCATAAACGTTTTTTTTTCATTAACTTTTGTCTCAATCAATCTCATTTAATGTATTGTCACAAAAAATTTCAGAAAATTAATCTTTTTTGTTTCTTTTTATAATTTCATTACTAATACTATTAATTATTTTTTCCTAAAACCGTTTCTCTTCC